ATAAGCCGTTTAAAATCTAACCCCACAGATCAGATGGACCTCAAGCTCGAGGTATAGATTTGAGAACTATCAGTTTGGGCAAAAAGGTAGAGCCTACATCTCCATGAAGGTGCCTGAGCCTTACGGAGCACTGGTGTTTAGAGAAGAGAAGAGGAAAAGGGATCTAGGGAGGGAGCTGGAGACGGAGTAGCCAGAGGATATAATGCCCAGGTTAGGAAAGGTCTTTTCAATAACAAGACTTAAGGAAATAAAAACAGATCTAGCCCTAAGACAATGGCAGAGCTATAATCCGTGGTTTGGGGTTTTTTTTAGATTTTATGTATGTATGTATGTATGTGTGTGTGTATGTATGTGTGTGTATTTATTTATTTTTAGAGAGAGGGGAAGTGAAGGAGAATGAGAGAGAGAGAAACATCAATGTGCTGCTGCCTCTCACATGCCCCCAACTGGGGACCTGGCCCTCAACCCAGGCGTGTGCCCTGACTGGGAATCAGACTGGTGAGCCGTTGATTCGAAGGCTGCCACTCAATCCACTGAACCACACCAGCCAGGGCTATAATCTATGGTTTAGAGAAACTAAAGCAAAGACCTCATGCCTGCTCTTCCCCAGGCTTTAGTTGAAATTAGATATATGCACATTTGAAAAACAAAAACGCGATGTTGACTTCAAGCAATAACACAACACCTTGAACTCCGGGCTTTGGCTACTATGATTCTATGAATTCTGTGGCATGTTCAGTCCACAGGGACTTTTTCGTTATTAATTAAAATAGATGTTGGGTTTTTTTTTTTAAATGATCAGGTTGTGTCATTTATAGGCAGGACACAATGTAGAACCCAGGACTCCCAATCCCAGGCAGGGGATAGTTCACGTCAGCTTTCCACATCTTGGGATGCACCTGGACATCTGTTTATAAAGACCTGGGACAAATCAAGTTCCTAAAATGTAAGCAACAGAAGTTAGGGCATCTTCTTCCTGGCCAACCACCCCCTAACAACCCTTCTCCAAAGAGGGACCTACCTCCCTTGTGCTACTGTGTTGGAGAGACAACAAAATGCCTAAACCTCTTCCTTAAAATTTTCTATGATTTCCAGGTGATCATCAATATACCCATCTGATTTTAAGCAGTGCTACCTAGGCCCCCACCCCTGGTGAGAGGGGACTGAGAGCACTCTGCATTCCAGCCTCATTCCAAGGGGCTCCGCCCTGACTACGGCCGCCTGTTCAGGCATCAAGCCTATGGTCACCGGCTCCCTGAAGCTAAGGAAGTGCGAGGAGTCAGGTGTCCACCTTCCCTCAGAGCCACGTGCCTCACTCTGGCGTTCCAACCATGGTCCCCTTAGCGCCCCGTCTCTGGTGTCAGGGTGATGTCCCACCATGGAAGAAAAGAAGTGAGGCCCTTTCTGACCCATTTTCACGCGCAACCTACACCACGTCTCGCAGCCATCAATCCCCTATGTCCACAGCAAGCAGTGAACACTCCTCTGCCCAAGGCTACTTGTGGTACCGTTTAAGGACGACACGAGACGCTATCGATCCTCCCCAACCAAACTAATGAAGATCGGATAAAACTCTAAACTAAACTGCGTGGTATGAGCTGTAGCCTCTTGGCAGGGGGAGCCGCTGGAAGCGGGACAGCCCAGGAATGCCAGCTAGTGCCAAAGGGCTCCGGAGCCATGTTCCCCCTTGGCGTACAACACCCTCCCACCCAATCACATCTTCGCACAGGCAACTGCAGAGCAAAACTATTTCTGGCACCTGCTCAGAGCTCGACAGAACATATGCCAGCCATGCCATGTAAATTGTGAGCTGTCAGTCACTCTTCTCTCTTTGCTTGAAAGAATGTGAAAACATCATTCAATTTTAGCGAGAGAGAAACCCAAAACAAAGATAAATTCTAAGCTCACCCAGCAGAGAGACCTGCCACTCTCGTGTCAGATTATTCTCTGCTCCAGCTCTGAGACCGGGCCACACTGTCGTCAGGAGGACAGAAGTGGGCTGGTTTGATGTCCCTTTCCAGTGCTGGGCTCCTAGTGGAAATATGCGATAATGAAAGCAACAGCTTAATAAGGTGTCTCAGGCTGTGGAGTTTAGGGAGAATAAAAACTGGGAGAAATGGAAGAGATCCGTTCAAGGAAGTGGGTACCGTTTCTCAGTCATCACCATTTCTAGGAGTGATGATGTTGATAGTGGGAGCAGAAAGAAGGGACCACATATAAAATATTTTGGAAAAAGAATTGGGAAAATTTAATTACTAACTGAATACGGCTGATAAGAGTCAATTTTGAGTGAGCTAGGCTTAATTAGAAGAATAAGGGGGGTGTCTTATTAACACAATCGAAGGAAAAGGGAAACAGCCAGCGTGTACAGGAGGTGGAGCTATTGATGGGGAGTTTGGATATGGACACCTAGAACTGAGTGTGATCATAGGAAATGCAACAAGCAGTTAGAAATCCGTGCATGAAGTCTGGAGGGAGGTTACAGCTGAAGATGTAAGTTAGGCTTCAGAGGCAGTATCGGAAGCCTTGGGAGTGGGAACAACCTGTGCGGGAAGGCTGAGAGAGAAGCTCGGAGGGCAAAGAGGCTGGGGCACACCTAGGGTGATGACGCAGCAGCAGGAAGAGAGGCAGGAATGGGCCGGCGAAGGGTGCTTCCCTTGCACAGTAACAGTCTGGAGGAATATCCATGTGCTGGTTTCCCCCAGAAGAAGCCCACACGAGCACAGCCTCCTGGGTACCGCGGGAGAAGTCACTCTTTCCTCCCCAATCTTCCTACTTTCCTGTTCTGCCTGGGATCAGAAGACGGGGTTCAATGAGTGAGACCTGGTCCCTGCCCTTGAGCAGCTCACAACCCAGCAGAGGCATCGTTTCCTCTGGAGTCTTTCCTTGGGCACCAACGCTATTCCCAGGAGCTGGGAGGACAGCTATTAAGAGAGGTGGCCTGTGTTCACTTGATTAACCAAAGAGCATTAATTGGATCCGTATTTTGAGACAAACACTCTGAAGGCATCAGAAAAAAAATAGAAAGCAGGAATTTTGCTGTCAAGGAGGCTGTGGCCTTTGGAGATCATCAAGATCAACTCGAGTGAAGTGAGGAGACATCAACTGGAGGGGACTGGCCAGAAGAGCAATAGGGCCTTGAAGACTAGAAATCACTGTGGGCTGAAAAGACATGACATTGTCATAGCAAAGTCTTGAGCGAAGGGACAATTTGGCTGGAGGAAGAGAGAGACAGGGCACTGCCGCAGGAGAGGAAGCAGGAGCCGGGGGCTAGGGCCATCTTGGTGATGGCAGAAGGCAAGGGAGACGGGGCCTTGGCTCCGAGGCCTGTTTTAGAGAACAACGCAGGCTAAGAGCACCCAGAAGCATTGCGTTTGGAAGCGGGTGAGCTGGGTGATGTTGAGGGAGGCCCTCAGTGGCCAGAAGAGAAGAAACGAGAACCGAGGGACTGGTAGCTACTCCCCAGCTCTGGGTAGCAGTGCTCTCGGCGTCCTGCCCACTCCACTCCTTGGCATCTATCCCGATCCGTGCCTATAAGGCTTTCTGTACAGCATGTTCTGATCTCTCAGGGATGCTGAGCATCCCCCACCCCCTCACACATGTGCTGGCATAAACACCAGCTCCTTGGAACACCTGTCTCCCTCCCCAGTGCCGCGGGAACCAGCGCAGGCAGGACAGGACAGAGAAGCCAGGAGTTCCCTGTGCTGAAGCTTCCCTTGCACTCTGCCTGGGAGCGCTTTCCTTTGTCCCCTGGTTCACAGAATTCCTGTCTTCTAGGGGTTAGCACTCACTTTGCCAAGAGGCAGGGGGAGCCACAATCCTCTGTTACATTTGTCCAAAGTTAGAGCCTGTCCCTTCTCGGTGTCCCAGGCCACAGTAGATGGAGGGATGGCGCAAAAGGCACCCGCCCACCTCATTTCTGGAATGGTACCACTGCTTCCACATTATACCTGCTGACTTCTTGCTGTGCCTCAGGTCAGCCAAGCACCAACACATACTCGTCTTCCTTCCCCAGACCTCCGTTCCTCTCTGTCCTCCAGCTTCACGGCCACTCCCGCACCGTACCTGTACCGCCCCGCCCCCAACTCCCCGAGTCCTGCCCTATCCCTACTCTGTCCCCCAGAGCCCAGTCCAACGCATTGACCTCATCAGTCATCCACCGTACCTCTCCCTCATCTTTTCTTCCATTCCTTCCCCCGTGCTTTCCCCAGGCCCGGCCTTGAGCAACATTCCCTCTGTCTCTTCAGATTTTGGAATCTCAAGGATCTATCTCAAGGGAAGGAGGGAGAAAAAGGGTAGATGTGCTCAGCATTTTTGACCCCATTCTTACCTTCCACAGCTCAGAGAGCTAAGGGGCTTCAAAGAAAGAAGCTGGAACAAGAAGAAAATGGTTTTGTAGCTCCCAGAGGCTTGTCAGGTGCAGGGCCTGGAGAGGCCCCGGCGGAAGGGGCGAGTGGGAGATGAAGGGACGGCGTGGACAGGGCGGGCTGCAGCCTCGGTGCAGCCGGGTCTCGGACCCCGGCCTACGGCTGTGTGTGGCCAACACCAGCCGTCCCTCCTCCTTCCAACTCAGGTTTTCCTGAGCCAAGGAACTAGGCTTGCCTACAGCTATTAGGGAAAGGACGTAACTTTCACGCCAACACAGATCACTTTATAACCCGTGCCCCTCTCCCCAGTGCTCCCCCCCACCCCACCCCCCGCCCCGCCGCTCCATCAGGCTTACATCCCTAGCAGGCAGCCCAGTGGTGCCCCAGGAGAAAGGGTTTGTCCTCCAAGGAAGGGTAAGCTGCCATCACGGCCAGTGGCGGGTAAGACAGCACCTGCACGCAGGCTCGTTGACAGCTGGAACTGAGTATGAGGGAAACTGAGTCACCAGTCCCACTTGCGTCCTAGCACCTGGGGCCAGGAAAGTGGGACGGGGATGTGAGACAGAGACCCCCTCCCTCCTGTCTCCCCAGCCTTTGTCCTCACTAATGTGACGCACCCCCCTTCTTTTGCAGAAAAGCCACGGATGAACAACATCCTGACATCAGCCACTGAGCCCTATGACCTGTCCTTCTCCCGCTCCTTCCAGAACTTGGCCCACCTGCCCCCGTCCTATGAGTCTGCAGTGAAGTCCCACCCCAGCAAGTACTCATCCCTGAAGCGGCTAAGTAAGTGGGGTTGTCCCGGGTCTGTCTCGGAGCCTCCACAGCGACCTCCTGTATCTCTCTCTCTTGCCCTACATCTGAGGGACCGGGCCGATGTGGAGTCCCAAGAACGAAGAGCGAGGGTAGCATGGAAGAAGACGATAAACAAGCCCTTGTTTTTGTTCTTTTGGGCCTGAGCTCATGTTCCTTATAGGTAGAACAGAGGCCGTGGCACTCCCAGGTCCGCACGGCCACAGGTGGCACGCAGGAGCGAGCCCGTCCCCAGCCTCATCCCACACCTACCGCCTTCACACCAGGGGCCTTCCTCACTCTCAAGGTCTTGGAGGAGAGGCTACCAACACCAGTGCTTTCTGGGTCTCATCACAGAGACCTCTCTGTGGAAGGGCCATAAACCACCCCCTTCCTAACCCAGGCAACACTGTCTTGCGATGCTGAGACTCGCCACTCCCAACACTTACCCATTTTCATCCCTTGAGTCCCGTTCATCCATCATCCCAGCTCTGCATCTGAGTCTGGGGCGGCTCTGGGGATCGATGGATTGAAGACATTACAATGTCTAGAAGGTGTGCGGTGGAAGAGCTAGCTCTTCTCTCGTAGCTTTCCGGCCCTTGGAACTTCTCCCCCCACGTCCCCATGAATCTATTTTCATGATCACCCAACTGCAGGGCTAAGTATTTGCTTAAAGCTCCAGGTTAACCTACCACGATTGACGGCAGCCCATGAGTCCATATCGGCCACCTACAAGGTGGAATGGTGCGTTTCTGTGGCTAGAAGTGGGGATTGCCAACTACCTGAGGAGTCAGATGCCTGCCCAGGATGAGAGAATACGTGGTTCAGGAGGCAGGGTCTACCCGCTCGTTGCCCTCTGGGAAAACTGAGGAGCAGTAAGTGTCCCCATGTTCTGCAGAGACCTGAAGGCCTGCCTGGGGGACGCCAGCCTGGCTGGTGTGTATCCCGGGTAAGTCCCAGGGTTCGGCAGGCAGTATGAGCTGGGGCAGGCCTCCCGGGTGGAGGCAAGGGCGGAGCGCCTGCAGAAGCTGCGCCATCACCTGGGTCTGCTCCTGCTGTGGGCCCGGGGAGACAAGCAGAGGCTGGATTCTAGGGGGGTGCCCATGTTGGCTTCCTAGGCCTTGGCTCTTACTCCAAACAAAGTGTTACTATGTTCCTGAGTTGCCAGCTAAACATTTGCAAAAGTATCGCCTGGGTTGGAGCATCTTTATTCTAGCAGGAGTCTGGTTCTGCAGCCCAGCTTCCTAGGCCCCGCACCTCATGGGAAAGCTGCTGGCTGCTCCCGGGGTGGGGGGGCGGTGTCAGCCAGCCCAGGGAGCCATCCTGCCTCGGGACAGGTGCGGTGGCAGGAGCACTGGAGCAGGAGGTCAGGGGCCGGGCTGGTTTCCACCCGGCCGTGAGCTCCCTGGGGAGCTCCCGGAAGTCCCTTAGCCCCTGCACACCCAAGGTGGGGCTAGACATGGCGGCATTGCCAGGGAGCAGGCTCTCAGCCAGCACCCCCCACGCCCTACCACAGGAGGTCTGAATCAGAATCTGCGTTCAACAGGTTTAACAAGCTCTCTGGGAGCTCATTTGCACATCTATTGGACAAGCACCGCCTCCGCCCCATCCAGGCTACAGGGTCCTAGTTCAGTCCCGGCTGCAGTGTGGCATCACCTTGTCACCCCAGCTGACGGCTCTCTCTGTCTCCCCCCTGCAGCCGACAAGGAGGCCGATGAGTATTACATGAGGAGGCGGCACCTGCCGGACCTGGCGGCCCGCGGCACCCTCCCCCTCAACGTCATCCAGATGTCCCAACAGAAGCCCTTGCCTCGAGAGAGGCCCCGGCGGCCCATCCGGGCCATGTCGCAGGACAGGGTGCTGTCCCCTGTGCGGGGCCTGCCTGATGAGTTCGGCATGCCCTTCGACCGCATCCTGTCGGACGAGCAGCTGCTGTCCACGGAGCGCCTGCACTCCCAGGACCCGCTGCTGTCCCCCGAGCGGACGGCCTTCCCCGAGCAGGCCCTGTCCAGGGCGCTCTCACACACGGACGTCTTTGTGTCCACACCCATGCTGGAACGCTACCGCATGACCAAGATGCACTCCCATCCCAGTGCCTCCAGTAACTCCTACGCCACACTGGGCCAGAGCCAGACGGCGGCCAAGCGCCAGGCCTTCGCCTCGCGCAGACACAACACAGTGGAGCAGCTGCACTATATCCCCGGCCACCACACCTGCTACTCAGCCAGCAAGACCGAAGTGACCGTGTGACTGCCTGGACAGGGCCAGGCGCCTGGTGGGGCAGGGCCGGGGCAGGAGGGGCCCGGAGCGGAGCTTATAGCCCCGTGTCTCCCTTTCCTTGGCCTCTCTGCAGAAGGGGGGGGTGGGCTCTCTTTGCCCAGAAAGCCATACTCCCCGGACGCAGCCCAGTGGTCTGGCACAGCGCGCTCAGACTGGGATCTAGAGCAATCACTCGCTGTCCCAGAAGAGTCAAGGGGAGTGAGCAGAGGGGCTAGGCCAGCCTCACCCCCGCCACCATCCCCAACTCCCTTTCAGTTCCATGTCCTCTCTCCCTTTCCTGGGCTCAGCTGCAGGTCTGTCAGCCAAGAGTCCCTGGCCCGACCCTGGTCCGAAGCTGCCTGGGTTTGAGTGGGCCAGCAGGTGCAGTCAACGGGCTGACAGAGCAGGCTACTCGGTCTCATTCATTTACCTAGAACCGCATCACGGGAATCTTCTAGTGCCTAAAAACTGCCCGCTCGCTCTCAGAGACAGGGAGCTGCTGTGTCCATAAGCACAACAATGATCTCTTCTGCCAGCTGGAACTGTCCTGTCCCCACTGAGCCACCGTTCTTCTGCTGACCCCTCGAGGATCCCCCTGGCCCCCCTGCCCCAAGCCAAGGGAAGGAAGGACTCCCTTCCTTCCTCTGCCTCCCCACCGTTGAGAACCCTGCCCAGTTCCAGCTGGCACCCCACCCACAAGGTCCCCTTGGCCCACTTGTGAGGGACTTTGCCCCTCCCCAGCCCTAGGTGTTGCACCCCTGACTTCCCTGGGGCTTTTCTCCGGCCCTCTCAGAAGAGAGTACCGAGGAGGTACACGGACTTTTGGGACGCCCTCTCCAGAAACCTGATTATCTCCACACTTCCTCCAGGCCTCTAGGTCTGAACGAAGACCCGCCACTCAGGCCTGCCTTCCCCTCCCCTACTCTGCCCCTAGAGGCATCTGCCCGCTGCCAGAGCGCTGCAGGTGGGGAGGCCACTGTGATGCCCTAAGTCTCAGGGGCTCGCCATTCCTGTCACCCAGGGCTCCACCTGTGCCCCGCCGCGCATGCCAGGCAGGATGGAGGCAGAGGCTTCTCAAGACGGGCAGCCCAGCCCTCAATCCAGGAGGGCCCGAGGCGGCTGTCCTGCACCATGTCCACTCCTCTCTCCCCATCACTGCCCACCTCCCCTGGCCCCTTCTTGGTTTAGAATTCTCTCTCTCTGCCTGTTTCCCCTTCCCCTATTTCCGGTCCTCCTGCAGCTCCATTTTCTCGCCTTCAGACCAGTGGCTCCTCTGGATCACAGAGACAGAGACCCATTAGCAAAGGCAAATAATGGTACTCCAGGCTTCCGGTCTGGGCGCTAACTGAGCAGCCCCCCAGTCTCTCCCCTGCAGGGGACACTAGGGCATCAGGCAGATGAATCCCCTCAGCTCTCCTGAGGGGCGTGGGCAGCCCCTGCCAGCTTATCTCAGCCCCTTCCTTGCCTCTAACAGTGGGGCGGGGCAGGATAGGACAGCCCTGGAGCGTGGACAGCGAGCTATACTCCCTCAAGACCAGAGCCAGGCAGGGAGAGGAGGGGGTCCCCTACTCCCAGGGCCAGGGCGCCTTCCCGGGCCGGGGCTGGGGCATTCAGCTCCGAACTATTGGGCAAAGGTATGATACTAAAAAGGTGACTCGCCAAAGTCAGACTCCGGAAACAATGACCGTGAACTGGGATTTTAGATCCCCCAGTTCTGCATCTACTATGTATGGCCCTTTAAAAGGGAGGTGGGGATGGGGCAGGGAGAACTTCCCAGTGTCAGTCCTGGGAATTTTTAGTCTAACCAAGTTCACAGTCCACAGAGGAATCAATCGACGGATTCCTCTTACTTATTTCAAGAATTCCAAAGCTCTTGTCTCCCCGCCTCCCCCAAGGCCCACCACCCCATAATCATGAGGGTATTAAGGCTCAGGGTGATGAACACAGCCCTCAGCTTCCCCGCTGGGGTGGCATCACTGGCACTGTGAGGCTGTGAGAACAGGGATAATTCTGTCCATTTTCCTCCCCTACAAATACATAAACCTTCTCAAGGGCTGGTCCCAGGGGTTTATGGGAGTTTGTTCCAGAGGGGAGGCTAAGAAGGTTGGGCCAGAGGAAATCAACCTAAAGAGAGCAGTTGGCCACTCCCAGAAACAACGGTGTGTCTGTCAGAGCTGGTCCCCTAAACCTGCTGCCCTCTAGCCCAGCCCTGGCCGGCCCTCTTGTAGGCTGCCTATTGGTGCAGCGGGGAAAGGACGTGGGTCTGTGAGAATGCCCTCCCTGGCTGTCTAGACACACATTCACTCCAAACCAGAAACCTGATCTCATCGTTCTCGTTTTGTATGAGAAACTTGTTCTTGGCACCAAGTTCTCCAGCCCTCAGGATGACGCTTCTGCTGGGCCCTGTCTTTCTGTCTCAGGGGTTGTTTAATAAGTTACTTCCAAAATATTTCTCATCCCAGCCTTACTGCTATCCAGTGTAAAACCTTCTGCTGCCAGTCAGCGCAGAAAATTCCACCTGAACCCTTACTTTTTAAAAATGATTCTTCTGCTTCACCCCTGGGTCTGGAAGGAAGGGAAGGAAGGCGGGAGGAAGGGAGGGAAGAGAAACAGAGAAGTCTACAAACTTGTTCCAATTCAGTTCCTTATTTCAAAATCCATAACATTATGTCTTAACTAGAACATAGACGTCTCTCATTTATGCAGCCGGCCCGCCCGTGTTTGTGGAACAAAGCCACATTACTAGGCAAGTGCACGCAGCAGGTAGGAGAGGGTTCTGGGACTGGAACCTAGATTTCATCCCCCCTGGTGGGGGCTTCCAGCCCCATCAGGCCCTTCCCCACAATGGAAGGCCCCCTTCCCCGGCAAGGGAAGCCCAGGACGTTTCTCTGCTTGTTCTTTGTGCGGGCCTCCGGTGACCTGACTAGAATACACTGGGATCCACACAGGTTCTCTTCTGCCCAGTCTCCTTGGCCTTGGATGACAGCGAAGACCTCACAATCCCTCATGCCCTTCCACCTCTCCTATCTTGTTCCTCCAGTTCACTCTTGACTCCATGACTTCGAACATCACAAAGGCTTTCCCAAGAATTCTTTTAACCCCCTAACTGGGCTTGCCAGTGTCTTGAGAGGTGGGTTTTCCTTCAACAGAGTTCCAATCCTTTCCCTTAATTCAAATTTCTCCTTCCCTTTTTTCCACTCTCCCACCCCAAAACTCTTGTCGTAACCTCAAGTCTTTTAGGCCAGTTCAGTCTTTCCTTCCTCTCATCTCCCGGGCTTTGCCCTCCCCCTCAACTTACCTGTCTCCATCCCTAATTTATTTTCCTCGGTCTTCCTATATTCTCTCTAGTTTTAACACTTAGAGCTTTCAACAGAAACATTCAACAGAAACATTCAACAAAAATGACATTCTTTAGGTTTTCTGTTTGCCTCATTGGTTTATCCTGCACCTCCTGCCCGTGGAGGTGATATCCCAGGACACGTAGCCGAGGGCCCTCCCACCCTGGTCTTTGGGAGGGAAGGAAGAGAAGCTGCCCCGGAGGCATCACAGTTCTAAGGTCAGCTTTGCTTCCTGCAGCTGGCAAAGTCCCCTCGCCTCCTGCCCCTGCTAGCCACTAGCCCAGAGGCTCCAACCCTGGCCAAAGATTCATATCGTTGAGGGCTCTTGGCCACTGTTCCACCTCACACCTGTCCTGCTTGCGTATGTCCCAGATCTCCCTTTGTCCCAAAACATTGGATAGCCTCATGGCTCTCCATGTGTGGAGAAATATCCATTTCAATAACCCTGCTACCAAACGATCCATTTTCTTCAGAGATACCTTGTCTGCCACCAGCCTTCCAGCCTCAGATTCCACCCACAGGCAACTGTGGACCCAACCCAAGGTATTCTGAAAGGGCTGCTGATGACCTGGACCCTAGAAAGCACCGGCTCTGGGAAGCGTTGACATGTTACCTCCCACATACATTCCTCCACCATCTTCCCCAAACCAGGGAACCGCTGCTCCGAAGTATTTTCAAGGAAGCTTGTTGTGTTTTAATGAAGTATTTTTCAGGGTTCAAATGCTATTTTTTATAAATGCAGCATTTTAATGAAAGATTCAATGTGAAAGATTAGTCTTCCTGAGCTCTAGATTTGGTTTCAGAAGGACGCACACAGTAGGAGGAAAGAGCACAGGGCGAGGCTCACAGATACAGGACTTGTGCCCTGGCTCTGCTCTCTGTCTCACCAGGGGACTGAGGGTGAGTCACATTCTCGCTCAGTGCCTCAGCTTCCTGTAAAATGAGGGGCTTTGACAAGATGAGCTCTGAAGTCTCATCCAGCTCATACATGCTAGGGCTTTCATTAACCATTGCCCTCCCCCCTTTCTTCACATTCTTCCCCTGCTTTAACGGAGCTGCATGCCTCCCATGAAGGCTGCCCATGGTGACATCCTTAGATGCCCTGGACAGCCACCAACTCCTCACCAGAACCTGGGGTAGGCCCCATGGTCTTGGCCACCTAGGGATGCTCTTCTATCTGAAGGTGTAAGAGCCTACCCATTCCATAGGTTACCGGCTGCGTGTCATGGAAGTCCTCACGTACAGGCACACCTAAGTCACCCAGGGTGTTGTGTCATTGGGAAATTCTGAATTTGAAGTTGTCTTTTTGATGTGGTCCTTAAAGCTGGAGGGAGGGAGTTCCTATTTCAGAGGAAATGGGCTGGAGGAGAAAGGTCCCGAGGTCGGCCTACAAAGGCGCGAAGTTTGTATTTGAGAGCAGCTGGAAATACATTCCAAGCCACAGACGAGAAGTCACAGCAGAGGCTCTGTGGGGCAAGGGATGTTGCATCCCACTCCAGAACCTGGGTCCTGAAGACTGAGTCTGGACACTAGGCTCCATTCCGGCCAGAGGAAGGGGAAGCATCACCCCCTGAGCTGCTAGGAGCTGGGCCCTCACCCCATCCTAGTACCTTTCCAGCCCCTCCTTGGGACACCGCTGTCCTCCCAGTGAAAGCTCGTGAAGCAAGAATTGAGAGAACAAGTCAGTATCATCAAACCCATCCTGTAAATCGGCAGACACATCGACCTGCATCAGTCAGAGAAATGACATCCTGCATTTCCTTACTGCCCTTCTTCCTGAGGGAGGGGAAGACCCCCGCTCAACTGCGCTGCCCACTCCCGCGGTGACGCCTGAATGCCACTCCATGGGAGGACTCGTTCATTTGCTTCATAGTGGCAAATATTCCTCTAGTTCCATAACTCAACTAGACATTTTGTAGTGAAGAATTCTTGAAATTCTCTAATAAAAAGCAATTCTTACTGTAATATTTTTAGTTGGGGGACACAATTTCCTAAGGGGGGGATTAATGAACATTTTTATGCATTAGCCCAATTTATGGATTCCGTGTTTATTATATGGTAGTACTGATCAGAAGTACCTTTCTATCTGTACCTTTGCACAGTCTCTTCCCTCCCCATCAGTAAGCTTCATGACGGGCAGTGCTCTCGTAACTGCTGCTTCTGTACAAATCTCATCGTTCTACTTACCTGTCAAAGCACATTCTATATGTACTGTAAACAGATACCCCTTTAGTAAGATTTAGTCTTAAGGATTTTTCCACTTTTGTCAGTAACATATATTTATGGATTAAAAAAAATAAAGCCGTTTCAACAGAACCTGTCTCTTTAAGCATCCATGTGCTTAGTTTTACAAACACAGTCAAAACTTAAGGGAATTAAAAATCATGGAAGGATGTAGAAGATCGTGGGAGAGGGGGGCTGAGCAGGGCTGGACTGCAAATGGGAACACGGGAACTTTTCCAGTGACAGAAGTTTTGAAATTGGATGATGGTGGTGGCCACACTGTATACATTTAGTAAAAATCATCAAATTGCACACTTACAGTGAGTGAATTGTATGATATGCAAATTGGACCTTAATAATGCTTTTAAAAATGGTGAACAGAAGAAATATAGGAAGGTGGGCTTGGGGTAGGTGTCAATGGATAAAGTATTCCAGTTAAAAATGTAATTAGAAGTTATAACTTTGTATCCATACTCATCTACACTAGCACTATTATTCTTGGACTAAAGGTCTTAGTTTGGGTTTAGGCATAGTTCTTGTGGTTACCATGGGTGATTAGAGTACAGCTGGTTAGATATCAATGCCATTTAAATGACAGAATCAAGCTGCACCATGAAAATTGATTTAAATTTGGATTCCTGCTCAAGACCCTCTTTCTTTGGACTCATATTTTACATGATTTTCTTTGGCACATAATCACTCATGCTGCTAAGATCATCTGCTATCCTGTGTTTCTGAGTTTTCACCATAACCTACATATTGGTGGGCTCAGGTTCAGCCAAGAAAGTGTTGCCAAACAGGACATGGTCTTCAACCAACTGTAGTGCCCCTATAGTTCCCAGAATCCACAGTCAGTTATACTCTCTTACCAGCTGCCCAACTCCATTGTAATTAAAACCCTTCTCATTGGATGTGTTCAACTTCTGTTCAAAAAATCCTTTTATTATCCCTTGCCGATGGCATTCTTGACCTAGGACAAAATTACAAGCCTATCTACTATTCTAATATGTAATAACATATAACCACACATATTCTAAAGTGTGTTTTGCTCACTATGTCATTTACTCACTGTTACAGTGAATTGCTTCTGGGTCATAGTGTCTCTCACCAATGATGACTCACAGTAAGTACAGTACAACTAGAGAAAAGCTTCATTAATCTATATTCATCACTGGAAGGAAACTCAAAGGAAAACAAAATTCTGAATTGGAATTTTTTTTTTTAACAGAAGTGCAATTTAATGACTACGTTTACACACACATATAATGACTAAATTAGACTAGTACCATGTTCCCAAATAGAAAATCCCAGAAGACCTTCTTTAATGAACGGGTAAGAATAATAGGTAATTCGTATAAAAATTGTCAAGAGGTATGGGTCAGAGAGTTCTGAACACACCTTAAATGGTGTTTCTATAATACCTTAAAAGATTATTCTCTTAACTAGGCTAAAGAACCCCCTTTAAATAACATCAACTCCAACAATTCGTTTAACTTTTTGTCTTTGATTCTCAAAGGTAAACCTCAATTTCATCCCTGTCACAATTGTCACTAATTCCAAATTGGTGAGATCTGAATAAAAGAGGTCTTAATAGACCACCATTAATAAGCCAAGGCCAGTGAAACTCATTGGAAGCATTGAGGTGCCAGGAGTCTCAGACAGCTTTTCATCTTGAACACCAAACTTTTCCCTCTCTGATTGAGCATGATAAGGAAGCACAAAGCCTCTAGAAAGGAGTAAAATATATATATATATATTTCCTTTCAAGATTTTAAGAAGACACTCAGTGTTTGGGCTCCAAATGGCTCAGGGGTAGGAAAATCAGAAAGAGCAGAGGTTGAGAATGAGTGCTTTGGAAGTTCCAGAAGGAGGGAATCAGTAACTTTTAAACCAAGGATGTGTTAGCCAATGTCATCTCTGGTTTCCTCAGTTGTAAAAGTTGGGATATAAGATGCAAATGCTTTTCCCATGTCCAATAGATGTCATCCCTGAATGATCACAAATTGTACTCAAATTATATCTAGGCTTCCAGGTAGGTGTATACACTGTGGAGAACCACTCTTTGCTGTCTTCCTGGTCTGTCCACCCCGCTGTACCCATCCCATGAGAACAGGGTGTTGTCACAGAGTACTGGACCAGGAGTCAGAAGACCTCATTCCCTGTACTGGCTCTGCCAGCTTTTTTCTGTAGAACGTGGAAAGACTTTTCTTCTTCAAATTTCAATTGTCTCATTTAAAGCAAAATGAATGGGCCTGACCATTTGAGGTCTCTAAAATCCTTCTTCAGCTTCTTTAGCCTTTGCTCTGTGTTCTTTTGAAGATCTCACAGGGAGTTGGTGAGCTCAGCTGGTACCTCAGAAGGGTAGATTGATGGAAGGGACAGAGACGATCCTTGGCCGGAGCCACTGCTTATGAGATAATATGTAATATGTAATATGAGATAGCCTCTTCCCAGTCACCAGCATATCTACCCTGTGTCAAGAGGTGGCTATAGAGGAAGAAAAGGTATTAAGCTAGAGGAAGAACAAGGTCCTTAAATACTTGCCTATTCTGTTTAACTTAACTTTCTGTGATTTCCCAAAATCAACCGCTTATCTGTTTTAAAAAAGTCCCAAAGATTGCATTTGCACAGAAAGTTCTCAACAGTTCATTATTTTACTGCTGTTGCCCATAAAAATAGAGCTCAAATGTGTGTTTCAGGGCTGGAGTTCCCTCCATGAAGAGGAGAGAAGTTGTTTTGCCACCAGCCTCAATCTCAATGCCAAAACCAAGTTCTAGAATAAGTGTCAAGTAGAGAATACTAGGACCATTGCTCTCATTCCC